TTAGGCACATATCCAAAAAAGAATAATCACTTAAGAATCATTTTTTAATAATTTTTAATGTGCGATGGAAACGGAATGTATCCGTCGCAAATTTGCGACGGAACATAGTATCCGTCGCAAATTTGCGACGGAATTAGTTTTGCGTCGCAAATTTGCGACGGATACTCAACTCCGTCGCAAATTTTGCGACGGAATTTTCATTTATTCGTCGCAAATTTGCGACGGAATCAGGTATCCGTCGCAAATTTGCGACGGATACTATGTGCCGTCGCAAATTTGCGACGGATACTACGTTCCGTCGCAAATTTGCGACGGATACTCAAATCCGTCGCAAATTTTGCGACGGAATTTTCATTTATTCGTCGCAAATTTGCGACGGAATCAGGTATCCGTCGCAAATTTGCGACGGCACATAGTATCCGTCGCAAATTTGCAACAGAATTTTCATTTATTCGTCGCAAATTTGCGTCGGAAACTATTTCCGTCGCAAAACGGCGTGGCCGTTCGGCCTCATCCAAAGGCCGGCGAGGTGTCGCCGGTCGTTAAACCGGTGATGCAGATACCAAAAAAAAACAAACATAAACATATATTAAAAAAACGAAAATTACAATGCAACGACGAATAGTCACGAAGCTAGCTATGACACTTACCGGTACAAAAGCTTCATCGAGATTAATATGTGCGTGCGCGGATTTTGCTGATTTCAGACAAACGAAAGAGGGAGAAAAACGAGAGAGAGTGAGAGAAAGAGATAGGGTTGGAATATCACGGGCTGATAAACTACGAATTTGCGACGGACGTAGTTTTCGTCGCAAATTTGCGACGGACGTAGTTTTCGTCGCAAATTTGCGACGGACTTACAATGCCGTCCCAAATTTGCGACGGATTTTGCGACGGTTTTATTTTCCGTCGCAAATTTGCGACGGAATTTGCGACGGATTACATTTTCCGTCGCAAATTTTCGACGGAAAATAAAACCGTCACAAAATCCGTCGCAAATTTGCGACGGAAATAAACCGTCGCAAATTTGCGACGGAAAATGTAATCCGTCGCAAATTCCGTCGTAAATTTGCGACGGAAAAACGTTTGTCGCAAATTTCCGTCGCAAATTTCGTGTTTTTTTGTAGTGCTGATCAGATTGCGCGAAACTAAGAATAACATATCTTCTGCCACGAAGTTTCATAGCGATAATAACACAAATGATTTCTGAACTTTGATTTAATGTGCAATATGATTTCTAAACTTTCAATTTTTGCAATGTGATTCATAAACTTTGGCTCAATGTGCACTGTCGTCTCTAGACTTTTAATTTGTTCAATATGTTCTGTGAGCTATTGATAAATGTGTAAAGTAGTTTCTAGACTATATAAAAATGTTTAAAGGTTCATAGACCATAATGAACATTAAACCAAAGTTTGGGGATCATATTGAATATATTAAAAGTTTCAAGCATGACATTGCACATTAGACCAAAGTTCATAGATCATTTGTGTCATTTTTCTAATTTCGTACGTGATCGGTGATTTTCGAGAGATGATGATAACTTCTAGATGTGACCCGGTAATTTCATCCACGGATTTTATTATTTCGCTAATAACTTAGTGAACGTGTTAGTAAACTATAGATTCGTCGAACAATTCTTTTTGTATAGTACATGTAATTGAATTATATACTATGGTCACATGATAATCTCATTGAAGCGGGAAAGTTATGGCCGCAAACTTCGATTAACCCGCACTTGTTATCGCATATAGCATTAGACTCTCGTTTCTTAGAGATTTAAGTGTTGACGAAGAGGCATTTTCTCTTGATCTCCAATTCACTTCCGGTGAGCAGTTTGATGCTCTCCATCTTACATGACTGAGTTTCAAAAGGCGGCGGGACAAAGCTTCCCCATCCAATGCTCAAGTCCAAAGATGCCCTAAGATTACACCTTGGTAATTGCGAGATTTTGATGGGATCATAGCTAACTGTTCTAAAAACTTAAGCTGTCAATGATAAAATGCATTTATCATATGGAAGGAGACCCCCCTGCCTTGGAGGATGTTGAGGAAGAGCGTCACGTAATCAAGTCGGTGTATCTCTTGAAACTATTCACGATTCTTTCCGAGATGTTTCTGCTTTCTTGACAGTTTCTGTGGCAAAGGCATAGGCAACTTCTGTATAGGGCTGAATTCATCCATTTTGCGTGGTAACTATGTAAATGATTACCCATCATCTTCTCAAACACCAGACATTACCATTCTTGAACTCATGTAAGCGTCGAAACAGTTTACCTGATAAGGCAAACGAGTCTCCTTCATCAAAGCCCTGTTGCCTAAATTTTTCAAGTTAGGGTTTCGAAGGATGGACTTGTTTTGGAGCAGGCATGGGGAATTTGCTGACTCCATCAAAGCTTTGCCTGGAGGGAGTCTCTCCTGCCTAGCCACACTTCCCATCCATCTGCGGCCCCCCTCTCTTTTCATATACTAGGAGAATTTCTTCTAGTGTTGTAATGTGATGGTGAGTGTGGAGATACTGTAAAAAAATGATTAGGTTATAGACCGACATAATAAGATGTGGACATATAATGTGTGATTAACAATGGTAAGTAACTTATCGACTCGACCTCACCTCGAGCAACAATGGCTGACACGAGACTATGTGCGGATACACCTCTTCTAAATTATACTTCATCACATCAATCGTCTCGAATCCGCGCAAGAAGTTAAGGTCGGTTAATGCCCGCTTCACGCTTATCATGCATCGGAACTGTCTAGAAGCACGAATCCATCGTGAGCCTAGTAATTCAATATTGAGAAAATCGACAGCAAATTGATAAAACTACAAGAAAACTTCATTCATTATGGTTGCCCGTTCTTGACTTTGCATTAGTAGTTGAATTAGCTGATGTTATTAGCTATAACCGATATACTCGTATCATATTTATTGGTTAGCTTCCGTCAAATTACTCTCTCCCTCTTTGTTGCTCGCAATTTTCTATTTTTGTCTTCGATTAAATAGACAGACAAAGCAAAACAAGAACGCGATGAATGGGCACAAATCTGAAATCTTGTCATTTGACGGGAGTCAATTCGTAGATTTCCGTTTAAGATAAGTCCAAACCAAAAGAGAAGCATCAAATGGAGCCTCTGTTCTTCTCGGGTGTTTGGATCCGCACAAGGGTCAGAGGCGAAGATGAATTCTCCTCTGGGGGGCTCGGGCATGATTGCCAAACCACAGATGTTCTTAGCTCACGGTCGAAGGGCACGTTATTTTGGCCGAAAAATCATCTAGTGGAGCTCGACGGGAGGGGCGCGAGGAGCTGCCGCGACGGGGGACGAGAGGCGGCGTCGCCTTTCTCTTTCTTTTTTGGGTTCTGTTCGTGTGGGACAAGCTCAAATTCTCCACTCTTGGATGTGTGAGGAAAAAAAAAACGAAAATTTCCTGCAATTGTGCACAGCTGATGCTGTGCTCTCTTTACCGTTGTCTTCTTTGTGGCCGCTTTTGACTGATGTCTGAGTAGATCATGCTGAGGAAGCAAATTGGTGTCATGACTGTCTTTCTAATGGAGAGTCTCGAATTGGGTGTTTCAGATTGGGAGTCAAAAGTAAATCTTTTGGGGAGGTCTTGAGAGGAAGTCATCCGTCTGTCAAACCACTAGGCGTAGCATTGTGGTGTTACTTCACTGATCGATATGTGTGCCGACATTGAATGTGATTTCTGATTTCATTGCAGTCTTCTCAGCGTTCTTCTGCTGGACAGGTCATAAATGCCCAATTTGCATCTGAACTGCACCATTAATGAGGTCAGTCTAGTTGCTGTTGTTATTGTGTTCTTCTGTAGCACTGTGGTGTTACTACACTGATTGATATGTGTGCCGACATTGAATGTGATTTCTGACTTCATTGCAGTCTTCTTAGCGTTCTTCTGCTGGACAGGTCATAAATGCCCAATTTGCGTCTGAACTGCACCATTAATGAGGCCAGTCTAGTTGCTGTTGTTATTGTGTTCTTCTGCAGCGTGAGTTTTCGCCTGAAGAACCCGATAACTTTGATGTCAATTTAGTCTCGTGTCGTGCGGTATTTGCTTGGTTGGGCGTTCCATGTTTGATGGAAATGTCTAGATTGGTATGTGTAGGTCGACAACTTGGCTGCCAGCGCTCGCTTAAGCTTACAAACTTTTGCCCATATGTACAGTCCGAAGTCCGGATTTTCATTGTCTTCCTACTCCAATGAGGCTAGGATAAGAGAAAATTCGATCTTTGGGTTGCGCATGTAGCCAATCAGTGTAAAAGCAAAGCGAGTTGTTTCTCTTGTCAAGTAGTCAATGAGTAGGATGCTTACTGACCGCTCTTCCAGTATGACAAACAATTTAACTGTTCTTTGCATACTTTGCTGTAGCAGTCAGAATTCGTTTAGTGCGGGCATTCAATAGTTTGACTGTACTATTTTTATTCTTTATTACCATGATCAAGCCTAGATGTCGCGCACCTCTTTGGATGTCTTTATCACATGCTCACGATGTTTTTGGTAAAACTATTACCATACTTTTCTAATCATTGTAGCATGGTGGTAAAGGCATCTATAGGGGCAACGTGAGATCTAGGTTTGGTTCAGTAACCAGTCAATCATCTAGAACGCTGAAACTGTTGCCAAGCAAGCCCCTTCAGATGTACATGCTTATGGTCTTGGCAATTTGCTTTTTAAAGGATGGTCTAACATTACTGTTCTTTGGAATTAGGAAGCGGTATTTTACCAGTTCACTCTCTTGTCCATAAGGCTAGGAAGGCAGGAGGCACACCTCCCACACAAGCACCACCCGATGAAGGGGGGACAAATTCTTTGATTCTTCACTTTCGATGGAATATCACATGCTCTAAGAGGATCTAACCATAGACATGTTTTGGTAGGATAAGAAATAATTTCTATGGACGTTCAGGTCCTCTGCATGAAGGACCTTGTATTTCGATTGAATGCTTGATGAAATCTTTATATTACTTGGAAGCAAAGGTGGTCATTCAGAACCTACAGTTTCTTTCCACATCTTTGAGACCTGCAGTCTCTTTTCTTGATTAAATTGTTACACACACAAGCAAGTTTTAAATGACTTTAAATAGACGAACGATTCATACATCACTAAGTCTGAATTGGTCCAACAGGCTTTTACCGTCGAGTTTGCTCGTGACAATTTTCCTGAGATAATCATCGTGGTTCGATGTTTTGTAAAGCGCACCGCTCTTTCCGGCAAGATCTGGCAATGGGCCGATCTTGGCTTGCATGTTTGGATTGTGAAATGCAGCTATTGAGAGGCGTTGCTTTTCTGGATTCACCACTGCTCTATGCTCTATGCTCTTGTACTGTCCATTGCTCATTATCTGCATCAAACGTGAAGATCATCATGGGATCACTTTCACACACGCGGGAAGGGTTGGAAAAATTATTGTACTACCTCAATGACATCGCCTACATTGACGATGAATGCCCCGGGAACACTCTTAATAGGTAGCCATTTATCACTTTTCTTAATTTGCAATCCGTCTACATCGTTCAATTGAGTTAGCAGGGTCAGTCCAGTGGCATCAGAGTGTGGCGTCAGACCCATGACCTCGTTTGCTTGCTTGCATGGTGGATAGTAGTTTAGTCTTATCGCTTGTATTCCCTCTTCAAACATGCTTGCAAGTACATCCGGAGAAAGTCCTAAGTTCTTGGCCATAGCTCTCAGGAGGAAAAGTAAAATTCGTACCAACTCTGAAGAGTAACTGTCCAGGGTTGCTCTGAGATGTTGAACCAAAATTAAAGTTCTCTCTTGTTCATCCCCAAAAAAAGAGGGGAAGAAGAAAATAAACTGGGAAGACTCATTTGGTGATATTGTGCGTGCACATCTGTTGTAGGAACGTTTGCTGTGTGATTGATCCGTTTTAACTTACCTGAAAGAGGCAGGGTTCTTTGGCCAAAACCTGAGGTTTCTCTGGGGAGCAGGTTGTCCAAAAAGGAAGAGCATGTCACCCCAGTCAAGCTTCTGGTCTTCCGACACAACAAAAGCTTGGCCGTAGCCTTCGATGGAGTTCGGTAACTGGGCATAGCTCTTCTTCTCTTCTAATGGCAGCTTAAAGAACTCCTCTGTATCTGTCTTCACTTGATTAATGAACTCTTCCGGTATGCCGTGGTTTATCAACTATGTCATCACAAAAATCATTTTCATATCAGTACTGGGAAGTCGAAACTTTTTGATAGTATGTCGTTGACATGATATGAGATAAATTCGGTTTGATTGAAAAGATTCAAGATGGTGCACCTGGAGGAAGCCCCATTCCTTGCAAGCCAAATGGAACTTCTCGATTTCGTCACTGTGGTCGGGGTGATCCTCAGCAAGCTTGATCATGTCTATGACAGGAATCTCGAGAGACTCGGTATCACAGACTTCGCCGAGTTCAGATGCGGCCCTGAGATAGCGAGGCGGAACCTCCTTCAGGCCCTTGGACGCGAGAGCTTGGACGCTTTCGACCGGGAGGGAACCGCCAAGGTCACTCCTGTGAAGCGCCTCGGTCTCCATTACTCCAGGTTAACCACGAAGGGTCTCTTAGCCCAAAGTCTCCTCTTATTTATAGGCAAAAGAACATTATAAGTGCCATAACTTGTGTACGGAGATCACTTTGGTGTCATAACTTTTTTTCGGATCATTTTGGTGCCAAGTCGGAGGAAAAACGATCACTTAAGTGTCATAAGTTTTTTTTGAATCACTTCAGTGCTAAAATTTTTGAAAAACGATCACTTAAGTGCTAAATTTTTTTAAAAACGATCATTTAAATGCTAAAATTTTTTAAAAATGATCACTTAAGTGCCAATCTCCGGCGAGCCACGTCAGCTTCAAAAATTAATAAAAAAAATGCCACGTCGGATTTCCGGCGAAAAATTGTGTACGGCACCAGAGTTGACACTGAAGTGATCGTTTTTCAAAAATTTTAGCACTTAAGTAATCGTTTTTCAAAAATTTTAGCACTAAAGTGATCCAAAAAAAACTTATGGCACCAAAGTGAGCGCCGTACACAAGTTATGACACTTGTAGTGTTCTTTTGCCCTTATTTATATATATACTAACAAGAGGACCCATTCATTGCTTATACAACAAAAAGTATCTCATCGACGATCTATAAGTATTCTCTAGACCACTCTTATTTTGTTTTGTTCCCTTTCTGCTAAAAATTTATTAAAAAATTCAGAAGTACTAGTGTGGCCGTTTCTTGAAAAAGTTAACCACATTGGTCATGTGAACCTCTAGCAGTTTCCTAGCCTTGCCAGGTTTTGGTGCATGTAAGAAACCTGTCGATGCCGTCAGAAGACTTGACAAGAATCACATTTTACTGCACTCATTTATGTTTCTCTAGTGATATATATCTCCTCCTGTAGAATAGAATTCTTCAATGTTCTTTCTTTAGTCCCCTCTTTTTGTCACATTTCCTTGTCTTACTTATTGCATGGATATACATGTGGATACTAGGGGTGTGCAACCGAACCGGGTTTACCCAGAAACCGGACCGGCCCACCCGAAAAATAGGTCCGGGAACCGGTTCCAGTTTGAACCGGTCCGGTTTCCGGTTCCAAGAGAAAATCCACCCGGACCGATTTTAGAACCGGTTTTATATGGAGGTCCACTTGCAATTTTATATGGTCAGAATTCAAAGCATTCTATCATAAAGGATGAGGGAGATGATTATTATTTGCGGATAATCTAACTCAAGGGCTTGTAAGCATTATAGGGAGCAATTTCCTTTTTCTTAAAATTTTTGTTTTATAACGAAGAAACTACATATCCAATTGGAATCTATGCTATTTTATCATGTCCATTAAATTATTTGGACTAAAATAATATGCTTTTGTATGAATACTTAAGATTATTTGCATAGTCAAACTTACAACCTTTGATTTGAGTTATAAGTTTTCCTATTTGCTATCCGGAAAAAATGAAACCAAAAAAAGGAACAAAAAAAAAGGGGTTCTCGGGTATACCCTGTAACCGGACCGAAAAAACAGGTTAGGTTCCAAAATAGGGTCCAGGGCAAACAGAGTATGTTTCAGGTTCCAAAAATTAGGAGCCGGTTATAACATGGTCAGTTTCAGGTTCCAAGTCTGGAACCGACCCACCCTAAAATCGATCACCCCTAGTGGATACCTATCACATTATAGGGAATAGTCTGTTTGCCGGAGGATGCTTAGAGTAGGAATGCTTTTGGTAGAGAATCTGCTTCTTCAGGACGGCAGTCTTTTCTATTTATAGATAGTTGCTATCGGTGTTTACTATAGACCCATTGGATTTCACAATATTAAACAAGACTAATATCAAGTACCTGGCAAGACTCCAACCATTTGTGAACAACAGCTTGATTAGAAAACACGGGCGGCTGGTGAAAGATGAAGCTGAAGTCAGTTTACTTCGGATGAGCCACTTTGAATAATCACCGTGGTCCGGCAATGAAGTGCCACCATCCATGGAGAATTTACAAGATCAGTCACTTGTTTTATCTGGTGGCACGATCTCGACCTCTTGTTCAGTACTTTGTTGAGAATTACCCTGAAATTAGGTGATTCATGGCCCTCTCCTGAGCTTTTTAGTTCTGACATAATGTAATGAAGCAATTAACAGCATTTGCACGTTTCTAATTCATTTATGTTTGGTAAATTTTTTTACTATCAGTTAGGTTAAGTTTGTCTTATCAGGATCGACCAAGACAGGTAAATGAAATTAGACTGCAGCGAAAAATAAACGACAATAGCTCCACATGATGAGCGACAAAAATCTTAGACTAATTGCATTTGATTCGCTCAATGTCTTCTACGACAACTTTGTAGCGGAACATTGGCTAAATCTAATTTTTAGCGGAGACATGATTAAGCCGCAGGCGTAGTTGCATATAGCATCAGACTAAAATTTCTAGGAAATTAAGTGTTGATGAATCGGCATGTTCTCCTGATCTCTCCTTCACTTTCGGTGAGCACGTTGATGTTCCCCATCTTCACAACCGAGTTCGCAAAAGCACGGAAGAAAGCTTCTCTGTCCGAAGCGTAAGCCCAGACATGCCTCAAAATAACACCTTCTTGGTCTTCTTCGTCGACGAGGGCATTATCAGATGGTAGGAGACCCCTGCCTTGGAGGATGTTGAGGAAGTAGTGGTTGTCGAACTCGAAAGGCGTCACGTGATCAAGCGGTGCTAATCTATTGTCGCTTCCGGTCTCGGGGCATATGGACCGTAGGATGTCGTAGAAGGTGGTGTATCTCTGGAAATGATCATAGCGTCGTTCAGGGCTTTCCTCGTAAATCCCTTGCCTGAAGCTCAGGCATCGCGCTTTTCCCATCGTGTGACTACCTGCTTCCGCAGTTTTCGATGTACAACACTGTTAAACTTAACTAAGAAAAACATCGACCAAAAAAAAAAAAACTAAGAAAAACAAAAGGAGGAAGAAGGAACTTAATGGTATGCTTAAGTAAAAGTCATCGTATAACACATCTCTGGAGCTGTTTTTAACTTCTAGACAATTTTTGTGATGACATAGTCAACTTCTTTATAGGAGTAATTGATATGAATTTGTTGATGAGGCAAGATAATTAGAAACAGAGGATTACCCATCTTCTCCAACAGGAGACATATCATTCTTGAACTCAAAGAAAGTCTAGACACTTTACCTGATAAGGCAACCAAGTCTCCTTCATCCAGGCCATGTTGACTAAAGTTTTCAATTAGAGTGTCAAGGGAGGAATTTGGAGCAGGTATTAATTTGTTGGCTCCATCAAAGCTTGCCTTGAGCGAGTCTCTCCTGCCTAGCCGCACTTCCCACCTGGGCCCTCCTCTCTTTTTCACAGAGGAAAAGAATTTCTGTAAGTGTGTGATGCTGAGTGTGGAGATACTAGAAAAAGGTTGGGTTTAGAATGAGAATTTAGTCCATCAGAAATGGAAATCTTGATCGACCGACCCAAGATGCGAACATACAATGTGTCTTGCTACTTTAATTTTTCTAACCAGAAATAGCGTCCGAGTTACTTACCAGCTCGACTGCATCTCGAGCAACAATGGCTATAATATCGGCGCAGGAGACTGTGTATGGACACGCCTCTTCCAGATTATACTTTATCTCGTCAATCACCTCGAACCCACGCAAGGAGTTAAGGTTAGGCAACGCCTGCTTCTCGCTCACCATGCCATCAAAACTGTCTAGAAGCACTGATGCATCGCAGCCCTAATCCTCAAAAGAGTAGTACAAGATGTTAGCTTATAGAAAAGACTAATTACTTACCCCGCGAAAAGTTACAAGGACCGTCTCACGTTCTAGTTTGCTTAGGCAGATAGACTGATAGAAATCTCTAACGTCAATTTACGAAACATTTTCTAGTTGCTGTCTAGATGGTAACATTCAAGCACTGCAACTTCACAAATCAATAGGATATTGTAAATCATTTACACTGTTTCCCGAGAGGGGGTGTGAGAGAGAGAGAGACAGAGAGAGAGGTGTTCCTCTAACCATGACGAAACAGTCGTGAAAATGGAGACGTAGCAGAGAGGCCGCCATTCGGGGATCTCTATACACTGCGCGCCCGACAGTATGCCGCACGATTTCTTCCAACAGAGGGCACTTCTCTTGGTAGTAGCCAAGAACAAGAGCCCCATCACCACTGGAAGTGCCCACTCCAAACAAACTCAAAACTAGCAACACCCTCAAGAATACCCCCATTGCAACTGATCTCGGTGGATGAAAAACGAACGAATACGACCTCTCAAAGTCTAAAGTCAAACTCATTTCACTCCTGAGAGATTTTGTGGCAGAAAGGGAATGTTACAGAGGTATCCTATAGCTACGGGCAGTACAGAGCTCTGGCAACAGTGACAATGATGTTTTCATGTGGGTTCAAACCAACGCATCTTAAAGCAGTTCCCTTGGAGATCTTAATCAAAGTTTGATGCAACTGAATCCACCTACTTTTTTTTCTTTGGTCAAGGAATGCACCTTTAAAAAAAATAGAAGGAATCCATCTAATTAGTCTTCCTTTCTTTCTTAACTAATTTTACTCCCTGAGACGCAGGTCTAAACCAGAAAGAGTTCTTGCTGATGTCTAAGACTATGCATTAATCCACAGTATATTAGCTAAGAACCTGTTTTGCCATCATCAGGTCACGCCTAAAAGCTTGTGGTTATCATTGGAGATTAGGAATTCCATATATGCTAAAGTAATGGGTCATTAGACTATCAGGTTGCTGGCCAGCAATAGCAACTCCCATTTAAGATCTGACTCCTCTAACTAACCTGACCACATCAAGGTGGATGACAATCTCACTTGTGTGACATACATTATATTTGTTTCATTTGTAGTTTCGCCAATGCAGTTTGGTCCTGAGCTCAGCTGAAGATAACAGATATCCAAAATAAGGGTACCAAAAAAGACATGCTATAATATATGACTTACTGCTCTTATCTTCCACATGACACTTCTCTTTTCCCCTTTTTTGTGGCGTTTAAATTTAAAACGTTATCTTCTTGCACAGCAGTCTTCGATGAAAAAATTAAACCAGAGCCAAGATTGCAAAAATGAGATTAAGTACAAAAATTTGATTAAGCTCGTTAAAGTTGCCAAGTCCACGGCAAGAAAACTGTTTCGGAGTACATATCCTACGAGCAACACATGGTTACGCACGACCAAATGGGAAGAGGGGGAATAAACAGAACAGAGAGAAAAGGCTGCTACACATCCTCAACAAAGAGAAAACTGCTCCTCTGAGTTATGAACTTGAACGTGCGGTTGTCTAGGGTTCATCTCCCAAGACAAAACCCAAATCAATGTACCATTGTTACATAATAGAGCAGCGGCTCCTTTCTTCCGTTGGCTGCGTTGGCCCTTGCTGGAATCTGTTCGACTCAGTTGGATTGTATGTGAACTCAGCAGTATCCAGCCCATACTGGTCCGAGTGAAAGTTTCAAGAAGAGAAACATACATCAGAATTGGAGTAGAATATCAACATAAATACAAAGAGAGAAAGGCCACCAAAATAATATTTCAAGACCATTAGATGCACATAGCTGGACACCGGTACTCAGTCTAGTATGCTATTACATTCCCAATCTTCTTTAGGTCAATCGATTCATTCATGCATATGATCTTCCTTCTTCGGTGTCCTATACAAAAGAAATTTGGGCCAACAGTATTTGAAATCTAATACAATATAAGAGAACCAACCGTTTCCCTCATTTGAGTACTCCAAGCATAATTTCTGCACTATACAAAAGAAATTTGGGCCAACAGTATTTGTAATCTCATACAACATAAAAGGACCCACCTTTTCCCTCATTCGAGTACTCCAAGCATCATTTCTGCTTGTCCGCTGATCCAGGGCACCGGCCCCTGGAACGCCTGCAGCTGGCTGTGGCGGTGGCGGTGGCCGGCTCAGCAATGGCCGCTGGATCTGTTGTCGTGAGGCAATATACTCATCATCACTGTCATACTCAGCAGGTCTGTTTGCTGCCCTAACCATCAAAGCCAACAAGAAGACCAATGCCTGCAGTTGCATAAAGTCATTATCTTAAGAGCTGAATGTCCAGCACGCTGAAAGTGTTCTATGTAGTGTGTTCCCTACACATACCTCCAATACCACCACTCCAAGAGCCACCCATCTGACTATGGTCCAGTGCTCTTTCAGAAAATCATATATCATGTCAAAGTCTCCAGTTTTATCAGTAGGTAAATCCTATAGATATGTAATCGAATGATTAAAAGAGGAAACTAACATTATCCATCAATGAACTAAAGAAATCACGAACGATATAAACCCTACATCTTCCCAGGTTTTGTCGAAGTATATAAACGCAGCACACCCCAGCTCCACCAAGATCAACAAAATTACCAAGACTGAGTACTGCATCACTTAAGGAAACAACTGACTAGTCAAAAATAAAAGCCAACTGGGAAAAACACGGGAAAAGCCCAGTATTAACAATTTAGGCATAATGTTATGGTAAATTACGCTGTGGACTACCATCATCACGTACTATAAAACTGTAGCTTTCTCCCTGCCAAGAATTCATAAACTCATCGCCTATGCTAAGAGATATTTTGAATCAAGAAGACTCAATGAGAATGAGGATACACAAGTCAAACAGCAACCATTCCTAGTTACAGCTCCGGTACATCCAAAGCAAGATATGATGAAGAGGACCAATCCAACACCGATAAACAAGAATATGAACCTGCATCAATGTGTCAAAAAACAGAAAAAGAAAAATGATGAGACAATAGAATCATTAGGATGTTCCACAAGGTGATATGTGCAAAATCCAGCTCATCTTAAACAAGAGACCTCAGTAAAGAGTAGCATATGAACAATGAACAGGAACATCCCCCACTATCAATATTTTCTTCAACTACATAAAGATGCACTACATCAAAGGAGGAAAACACAAGTTGCGGAAACCCACCAAAATATCCAACAGTTAAGTCTTCTGGGCAGGGCTCAAGCAGGCTTGCCTAAGAGTAAAGAGAGGTTCCATGCAGATATGCATAATAGCGAAAAACTAGAAGCTGCCAACTCAGCATAAAATATTGAGCTAGGCTTAAGCATGATAAATTTTGCAAGTTATGGTCTCGGCAGGAAAAAGAAATAGAAAAGAACATCAATTAGGCTCAGCTTATCAGTTTAGCTAACTTAGGCACCATGACAAGTACAAGATAGGCATAACATGGCATTAGGCAAGATGATATGTTCAGGTACTATTCCCGTTGGACTTGAGCTTCCAACCAATGACTGCTTACACCCATTTGCAGAAAAATTATCTAGTATCAGAGCTGCAGTTTGAATCATTCTGCTCCACTAAAAGTTCTAAAAGGCGAATGCTCAGATGTTACTTTAGGCAATGAGCTAGTTTTACATTAGGTATACATAATAACCTCACATTCTATCTGTTACAGATATAGCCAAAGCGAGTTGATTGCAATGTCCAATTCAACTACCAAACTCAACTGACCACGTTTCATGCTCTGTTGCAATAAACTACCGACTACTCCAATCTCAATTACCCATAACAGTATTGAAGGCAATGAGAAAAGAGCTACCAAAGGCAGATTGCAGATGCCAGTTTAGGTTTTAAATGGCCAGCCATTTCTATTATCACTCTTACAATCAATTTACCCCACAAGTTTTCTCATAAGTGTCTATATCTCCTATGAACCTGAATGTTAAGATTCACACCAAAATCGATTATTATAAGGCTTAGCACTTGACTGCACAAACAAATCTTCCAGGCAGCAAATGAAGGTCGCCTCCAAAGCCGACCTTTTACAAAATTTCACATTGACTAGTAGATCTATGCATATGAGGTCCCCAACCTCCTCAAGGAAAGAGTATACACTGCTGCATTTTGATGCAGATCTGGTTATATTCATCAGTAGGATGTTGTTTTGCTGCATATGAGATGACTTGAAACCAAAACAGTCATCCCAACTTTCTTCAGCCAAATCTCATATAAAAAATTTTCCACCCCTGAAGCAGCACTACAACAATTCCACTAGGATTTTTTTACTTATAAGGCTTTTACTTATTCTTTTTTCTAATCTCACTGGACCACTGCAGCAGCATTTTCTAGTTGATATATAGCAATATTTTTACACTGGCAGAGTTTGGATTGTAGAATTCTCCAATTTTTTTAAAGTAATCTCCTTTCTCAGTAACTGCAACGGAACGAAAAGTGGTAGGAAGAGAAACAGCAAAACATGCCGTGTTATAAGGCCTGAAACTGCAAAAAGGTTGCTACAAGTAGCATTGATGACTGGTCGTCCTCTTTGATCATGAGCGACAACCAGTTTTTCTACTGATCAAAAGAAAAACAAATTTACCAGCAGTTCTTTGCCCTTCATGAATGGGCCAAAAATAGAAATCTCGCACCAAAAGATAATATATAGCAAAGGCAAAGAATCTCACTGCTGCAGGGCAGAATAAAACGTCCAATGCCAACCAAACCGACATAAAAGATGCGGAACTCAAGTTTTCGTTCCCCTACGTCCTCACGAGCCAAGCAGTATATGACTTCAATGTGAACTAAAAGATATCTAATCGGGTGAAGCCAAACAGCATCCACTCTGTGCAGAAATCAACATTCTTACCAAGCTTTGGGCAGATTATCGAAGATACTGGACGAGAGAGAGACCATCACGAGCAAGGGACGGCCGAGCTGCACCAACCCCTCATCAGCACCTACGGGCGAGTAACCGACGGCGTCACTGGACGATCTTTCGTACTCGACGAACAAGTAGATCCCATATCCCACCATCGCCAGACCAGCAAGCGTCAACAAGAAGTTCAAGAGCTTCAGCACGCATTCCATGCACCCCCGGCACGCCATTTCCAAAATAACTCCCCCTCCGATCACTTTTGAACCTCCCACCAAACACTATTCACCAACTAACCCAGCTAGCCCCCTGCAGCAAGCAAATCAATATTCACCCAAAGAACGAAAATTGAACTCCCCTGAGCTATTACCTAGAATACATGTCACTGCAGCTCACGCTCAAATCAACTTCTCTTTGCCTACACTTTCTCATCCCGAATGAATTCAACAACCCAAGAATTATGTTTCTTTCCCGCTTCGCGGGCTCAACCTGAACATGCTGTGCACGCGAATTTCAAGCACCGAATCGTCGATGGAACGACAAAAGCAACTGGGACACAAAGGAGCAACAACCACCGCCAGAGAACACACCGATATTCCACAGCTGACCAAAGAGTTTTAAGGATTGCAGAGAGGCATGAAATCGAACAATTGCAGTGTTACCTGATCGCCAGCCCCTTTCGGGTTTCCCTCGGATTCTGCAACTCAGAGAGAGAGAGAGCAGAAGGAGAAGGAGAAGGAGAAGGGGAAAGAAAGGTGATGACAACTTTTCAAGACAAGCTCAAAAGTTAAAAAACGAAAATAAAAATAACATATACTTTTTTATAATTTAAGAATAATGACACAAATAATATTGAGTTTTGGCCCAAAATATAACGCGGTCGCTGATCTTTTTATTTATTTACTATGGTCTCTAAACTATGGCTAATGTGTAATGTGATCCATGAACTTTTGATTCATGTTTAATATAGTCCCGGACTATATGAAAATGTTCAATATTACCCATAAAGTCGAATTAATGGAACATGAACCAAAAGTTTAGAGAGCACATTGAACAAATTAAAAATTTATGGATCGTATTTTATATTAGGGTAAAATTGAAGGATTACATTAAATAAATTAAAAACTCATAGATCATATTACATATCGAGCCAAATTTTAAGGATTATTTGTTTCATTATTTTTTTTTTAAAAAATTTATTTGCCATTTTGCAAGTTTTTCACGGCGCTCTTTGCAATGGGCTCCAACGCGTGTCCAAGCCACGTGGTGGGGAGATTATTTTTTTCCATTTTTTTTATTTTTTTATTTTCTTTTGTGAAAGCATAGATTGATGTATGCTACCCTAATAAATTCTCTAAAATTACGATTGGTCGGTCCCTGATAATGATAAAATATGTCCGACGAGATTAAAAAAAGCACAAGTCAAACTTACGACTTTGATTCGAGGGGCCTAATCCGGATTAGCGCTTTGATTACTTGATTATTAAAATACTCTAATTGCAGTCAGGTGATGCATCGACGTTGGATAACGATAAGTATGTTTTTTTTAATTTTAATTTCATTTTTTCTGTGTACGGCCGGAAAAAGGGAGGTGAAAAAAAAATTGGAGATCAGAAAGGTTGGGAAGGCCATGGCGGGGAATCCGACAACAGTAGTGGTAGCTCAGGACAGGACAGGACATCAACTAGTGTTCCAACTGTAAAGTGACCCTAAATCATGACTGCCCGCCGGTGATGGTCGGCCGGCGACCTCATGCGGTCTAAAGTTGTAAACGGTAAGAAAATTCGAAAAATATAAAAATATTGTTAAAATTATTCAACATTAGCATCGATTGTGCCACGTAGGATAGACAGTATCCATGTTAGCCATTTCCAGCTAAAATTGACCGAATGGATTATATTGACAAATCATCAAAAGGTTTAGGACTGAATTGGTACAATTAAAATATTTAAAACTAAATCGGTACAAGTGCAACTAATTTAGGATTTTATTGATACTTTTTCCCTAAAATGAGGCCTTGATCGCGCCCAGTTCGGCGTCTGGAATAAGCATTCCAAACACTAAGCCGACCCAAGGACCGAAGTCCGGTTCGAACTTTAGAACTTGAGAGAGAGAGAGAGAGAGAGAGAGAGAGAACGACGCGATTCGACTGGCTTCTATAAGTTATAAACTTTACATTGACAAATCGTCAAAAAGTTTATGACTGAATTAGTACAAATGAAAAGTTGAGAACTGAATCGGTACAGGTACAATAAATTGAGGATTTTAATGGTACTTCTTCCCTAAAACGAGGCCCTGATCACGCCTAGTTCAGCATCTGGATTAAGCATTCAAAAGCTAAGCCAACCCAAGTACCGAAGTTCAGTTCGAACTTAAGAACTTATGAGAGAGAACGACGCGATTCGATCGGCTTCTGATGAGTTGGGATAGTCGCGAATGGATCTCGAAACCTTAGAGCAAGCCGAGTAGCGAGTTCGATATGGGCAGTAGCGCAACGACTGATCGAGGAATTTTCATTATGATCAATACACAGGTTCGGCGTAATTCGGGTGACACTGATTATTTTGGCAGTGTGAAAGCTATTTTTTGGGTTTTCCCCTTGCAAATCCTCCTAAGAAACCCAAACAAAATGTGCTAAACAGAATGAACTATGACAGAACACTTGCAGCATCACCATATGATAGAGACTTGCATCTCTGCTAATGGCCCTGCTTAAATCCAAAGGGGGGCTTTGACTTCCATTGAAACCCGCGAAAAGAATGTGTGAGATCTTTATGCGTCGTCGGACGTGCTGTTGCCGCTGCTGCCGACCCAATACTGTTTGACCCCGACCAATATCTTCTCAGGCACGAGGGGACCGTCCTCGTGATCCACCAACTTGATATCCCATCTCATTCCTATGGCGATCTTCCTGACCTCGTTCATCGTATCGACTTCGTCCCGCAGGAGGATTGCACCCTCAGGCCGCAGTATGCGGTCCATCTCCAGAAGAATGTCCTCGAACTTGCACCTGGCGATATTTTAAGTTTGATATCAGGGGACGGTGGTACAAAAACATTTGCGGCGGATAAACTAATTGACTTGATGCGGATGCCACATCCACAGAAGAAAACGAGAAAGAAATTACTCAAATTTGACGGCACGTTTAGTCATTTACTATCTGGAATAAGTCAACTCTGTGATAGCAAGTATGCAAACTGAATCTTAAGAAAGGCCTACTAAGTTCTGAGCTCTGTTAATTACGGTTTCGCATTGCACTGTAAAAGTTTTGATGCTAAGCTTGAAGAATAAGGTCCCTGTCCAAGTCCAATGCTAGCAGGTAAAAACTTTTTACGCCGCGAAAGTCAGTGTCCACAACTACAAATAAAATAAACCGACCTGAATCCTTTTTAGCTATGGAAGTTCCTAAACACTGACCAGAGGATTAATAATGGGGAGCAGAAGGAGAAGACTTACTTGCCCTTGTACAAGCTAAAGAGTCCGCTGGCATGAATTAGATCGTATGTCCTCGGGTAAGTAGAGAATCCTTCACACCTGAAACCATATGAAAGTTCATCTCAAATCCGACAAAGAGGTACTCGAGGGCATAGCAGTGTTGCTCACGAGGTTTATGTTTCAGTTAATATTAAAGAAATGAAAGAACTTTTGCATAAAGAAACCAAACAAGTTTGCCCATGGGATTTGATCAGAGTAAGATCTGACAGGTCCTTGCGCTAATCAAATACTCACCAATCATGGTAACTGCCTATCAGGCCCCTCTCGTAGATGACACCTAGCGAGTTCTTCGCAATGTTTGGCACGACATTCATAACCCATAGTTTTGGCGATTCGAGTGCTGCTGCGAATCCACCGAGGCCTGCATTCATGTCCATCACATTGCGATATCTCATGGAGCCAATCAATCTATTGAACCGCTTATAGCTACTGACATGCTTTCTCCAGATCTTATTGTCCTCATCGTATAGGTCGGCCGTGACTCCTGGAACAGACCCTTTAGCTATTCGAGGCGGGACGGCATTAAGCCTGGCCGGGAACTTCTTCAATTCCCCTCCTGCCACTTCTTTCGAACTTGCTACCTTAGGGAAAGGAGTGACACACGACTCCATTTTCTCATACCTGACGTGCACCAAAATGATGTGTTGAGATTATAAAGTTCAGAATGTCTAGAAGTTTGGACATAGGCCCCGTTTGGTTCAGCATTGGGAATGGCCAAATGAGCATTCCCAAAATGCTGAACCAAACGGTTCAGCATTGGAGTTCCAAATGCTCATTTGGTAGCATTTGGAATGCTGACTGTTCCCCAAAAAAAAAAAAAATTCTTCTTCAGCAAAGCGTGGCCGGCTAGGGCGGCCGGCGAGGGGCCGGCGCGCGCCGGCGAGGTCGCGCGACCTCGGCGACGGCCGCCTGGGGTCGCTCGACCCAGGCCGTCGCCGCCTGGGTTCGCGCGACCTCAGGCGACGGCCACCTGGGGTCGCGCGACCCTCGCCGCCTGGGTCGCGCGACCTCAGGCCTCCAACGACGACGGCCACCGGCGCCAGATCTGGCTCGCTGGCGGCCGTAGCTCTTCGCCGGAGCCGGCAAAGGGTACTTTTAAAAATAATAATAAAAAAAAAGCTCCCAAAGCCCATTTGTAAAAAGAAATAACCAAACATAATTGCATTTCCCCAAATGGCTTTTAAATAATTTTTTACCAAACGCCATTTGCATTTTTTCAAGTGCCTTTCACCTAAAGGTATTTGCATTTCCCAAATGAGCATTCTAAAAGCCGAACCAAACGGGCCCATACTGAAAACAAAGTCTCTGTGGGAGTTTATAACAAACATCTACTCTTCTAAACCTACCCCACCACCATAACAACCTGCTGAACCATTCACGTTGTGGACTAACTTGTCAAATTGCTTTCCAACATTGAGTGCTTTAGCAAAAGTAACATGATTTGAGCTGTCCAAAGAGTCTCTCTCTCTCATATGTGCTTGTGCACCCCTAAAGGTTGACTGATTATAAGATTTTAAAGGATGTGTATTGAAGACTAACCAGACATCATCGGCATCTTTAGTCTGGCATATGGGGGCATCTTTTCTTTGGCAAGATCGGTCATTTACTTTTTTCCTCCAGATGGCGAGGTCTCCTTTCTCGTACTTCTTCTCCCAGCACAATTGTTCGGCCAGCTCTTCTATCTTTCTTTGCTCTGCCTGAAGCTCCTTCTTAGGGCGCTTCCATGTCTGGTAGTACGTCTTCCAATTGATGGGAGGGCCAGACAAGATCCAGTATCCACCGGGCCTGAGGACTCTATCGACTTCCATCAGATATGTGCCCTCTATCATGTAGAAAATGTCATAAAATCGGTAACTCATCAAAAAGAATTGTGAGAAAAGCCCATGTCCAACTCAAGCTTCTTTGAGGCAAAATCGACTGGCAATCGATTCTTATCTTATGTACAAAGCAACAATAAAACTCAAACAACACAGCCTGGTACTATTGCAACGCTCACACAATATATATCATATCCTTAACACACCAATTATTTGGAAAAACATGTGAGCAAACATAAGTGGACAGTGACCAGCTATCATACATTTATTGTTCAGCAGATCACAGACCCAATATGACTATGGTTTGCCATAGAGTAATACTCACACTTACCATTAGCAGCCCATGGAATTAAGCAACGAGAGCACTGAGCCATATCGAAAGCTCTTGATGGGTATGGAAGACGTATACTTCCAAGGACACCAATAACAGCAGGCACTCCTCTCTCCAACGCAAACTGC